TGTGTGTGTGTGTGTGTGTGTGTGTGTGTGAGCTGTGCTGTGCATGTCATATATGTCACTGCCTATGATCTATAGTAATTACTGTAGTGCTGCTCTTCATCGTGTTTATTTATTCGAGCCCTTTCCCTGAGCTTTTTCAGCACAATAAGGGAGCTTTACTGTTAATTGGGCAGGCACAGTGTGGACTAAACGATTTTCTAATCGCTGCAGCTTTTGGATTGTTGAGCTGTTGATAGACAAACTGTGAATTGGATGTTCGGTTATTCTAATCTGTTCAGTCAGCCTAGACTAACGTAGCCTCATGCAGCACTGTGAGATAAACGGGAGGAGGAAAAAAAAAACACACTGCCTGCGCTGGCTGGCCTCTAGTATTTTATTCAAATCACGCCACAGTTGTATTTTAAAAATGTATGGCTATTTGATTCAAGCAGGCAGAGATAAACCATGTGCGTCTCATCATCAGCCATGCAGTGCAGAGACACCACAGTGAACCTCGAAGCCACCAACGCCTTTTTGACCGGAGATACAAAAACAGGAATTAAAAAAAAAATCGGTGTGTATTGTTATGCACTGCAGTCTGTACAACTGGGCGACAAGTGGTGTCTATTTAGTGAAATGACAGCGATAATATACTAAAACAAAATGAGGCGTATCACGTTATTATTGCACAGTCACACACTGCACACGCAGCGATCACCGGTTCCGATTAATCACGTTGACGCGGATGAATGAAAGAGGGCAGAGACGACACAATCGTTGCTGTGTGGGGACGCGCGGCGTGGCACTGGGTCATGTAGTGCTTTCACCCACCTTTTATCCAGGCAGCAGATCCACTCCGCCGATGGGGACGAATTAGGGGACGTCTGCACCGCGACCATCTTCCCCGGCTGTGTGTGTGCGTGTGTGTGTCACTAGACGCTGTGATGCTTACCGGAGGAGGGTTCCCGGTTGTCGGTGGTCGTTAATGGTTTTGAGCTCTGACTCCCCCTCCCCGCCCCTCTGCCTCACACAACTACGGGATGTGTGTTCATATATATATACATTTCTTTTTAAAAACAACACACACACACATACATACAC